TGCAATTAGGGTTGAGACTAAAAGTCCTCATAAAGCATATATTCTCTTTTCCTAAATGGACAATTTGCACTTCTGAGGCCCCCTTTTCAGGGTGAACCCCCCACCCCCCCACTTTGATCCTTGCCTGGACCATTTCTTCACACCTGCACATCCTCAACTCTCATAACTCTGTGTCCAACATAAACAGTTTTTTTTTACCTTTAAAGGCGCATGCTTGGCAGCTTTTGCATCATTTTTGGGCTGTCCATCTTCCAAAGGTTTACTTGATTCCACTGCTGGCTGAACTTCCGAAATTTCCTGAGGTTTCAATACTGTGCTTTCTGCTTCTAGGGCTCCCCATTCTATATCCTCCTGTTCAGTCTGGAACATACTTGACACGGCTTTAGGAAGCTCCTTAAGCATATTCTGTTGGGAAAAGTAAATGTACAAGAAGGCTCTTTTTATTGGTCCTTCCAAAGTTTTCAGTGATGCAACATTGACAACAAAATGAATATGAAAATGCATGTTTGAAAATAAGCAGTGCTGGCAAGTTTCCTCTGAAGATTTATAAAGAGAAACTCAAACTGGCTTAAGAAAAATGTGAAGGCTGGCAAATTATTGTCCTTGGTCCTTGTGTCAGAAAATATAGCCAATTCACAGTTGTTACAGGTAAAAGATGACATACAGTACAAATACCATCCAAGTTTCTTTATTATGCAAGAAGGGATAGCTGGACCAAGAAATTTAAGTTTGTAAAATGGAACTTTAATGTTGAGCTCATGTTTTTGTGAAGCTACTGGATGATGTTGTGGGAAGATTAAGAGCTTTGTAACCAGATGGGACTGAATTCAAACCCTGGATCTGTCAATAAATAGATGTTTGATCTTGGTAAAATTACTTGAAATTTTTTAGCTTCATTTTCCTCACTGCTAAATGGGGTTAGTACAACCCTTTTTATTACATGACAAGGTGGATATATTGAAGCAATATGTTTTATGGACCCTGCCCCTATACTGTCTACCTATGATAAATTTAATCATTTTATGTTCCAGAGCTTTTGGCACTGTTGGTCATTCCCTTTCTTTTGAATTTCTCTGCTCCTGGTTTCCTCAATACACTCTCCCAGACAGAATAGGAGCAGGGCCCATAACACATATTGCCCCAGTGTATCTACTTTTCCATTTTATAAAAATGATTTTATTAA